ATCCTTGCCCCACCTTTCAAGAGAAGTGAGGAATCATTACAATCTTCCACTGCAATCAATTAAGACTCAAGGGTAAGTCAAGCAAATTTTTTTTTCTTTGTTTTGATGGGGTTTTTTTGTTGTTTTCGTTAAATCTGGCACAGTAACAGAGATGAGGGTGCTCATTTCCTTGCCTTTTAAATACATGATTCTCTCTCTTCTTCCCTGAACTAAAACATGTTGAGAATTGCTCTAACTTGACAAAGTGCTAAGCAAGACGCATGCTGGGCAGGAATCTTGCAAATATCTCGGTATGTTTTTCGTTTATCTTGCAATATTATGCATGGAGCTTTAGGACTCAAATCCAACATGCTGGCATTGTTTTCTCCTCTTCTGAATCAAAAGGGAGAAGGGTACTCAATGCACTGTGGCTGGGAACTAGCAAACGTCAAGGTCTTTCTCTAGTGACATACAGGTAGCTGGATTTGCGTATTGCTTTAGAAGGAAGGAGGTTGCCCCAGCTTATGTTGTATTTTCTGACTTCATTGGGCACACGTCAGTTTTGCTATCACTGTCCCAAAGCTGTGTATATCATGATGTTATCCAACCAAATTTGGTACATACCGGATGAAGTAAGCCATAGTTATTTGGTTTAGAAATGTGCTGTCAGAGATTAGCATCTGGCATAGCTGAGTAGTCACAGCATAAGACAAGGGGAAATGGGCTAAACTCTTGCTTCTGGATCACTGAAGATAGCTACTCAGTGGAAACTCCATCAGCCCCCCTGGGAGGGAGAAGTGCTTGATGATCTTTGCAAGCAGGCCCCAGAAGGAGCCCGTGAAAAGGAAGAAGAGAAGAACAGGGCTGTTCTAGTAAAGGAAGACAGAAACCTGGGAGACAGAATGAGCAGAAATGTGGAAAAAAAACCCCTAGCAAGTTGTATTTTCTGAAGAGAGCTGTGGTCTTACAGTACGTACAGTTTCTAAGGTCCAAGCCAAGCTAATTTGCTGACAGCAAAGAGTGGTTCAACCGAAGAAATTGCTCCACACGTCACCAGGAGTACTTTGGTACATCAGCATGCTCCCAGTACCCCCAAAAACTGATTCTATGTGTTTTTTCCAAAAAGAAAACAGAACTCCTCAACAAATGTGCTTCCTTAGATTAGGTATTAGCCAGTAGTATTTACTTTGTAAAGGCTGTTGGCAGATTCTTAAGACAGGCTTAAGGAACCTGTGGCATCCCTTACAAACTGCAAGCGTTAGCCAGAAGCAGCACAACTACGTGGTATTTTCAATGCGCCTGTGGTTTCCTAAGCACAGTATCGGACACCAAGTGCCAACAGCCCCCGCGATGAAGCAGAGTGTGCTACCCAGCTTGTCAGATGCAGTCAGCACTGCAGTCCTGCCGTATCGTGCTGCTCTTCCATGCAGCAGCATGCTTTATATGGAAAGCATGCTGATTTGACAGCGACTGTAAACACCCTACAGTCACACTAAACCACAGCCATTTTCAGCTATGCAGAGAAGGAGCTTGTGTTTATTATGGTGGTGACTCTACCCAGCGTATAAGTGAAGTTATTGACGCCCATTGGACTCATTCATTGCTAGACTTGTACCCTTCATTTAAAGTCACCAAATATAGCTTTGACAACCCAGTTCTGAGAGCCCGAGGGAAGAGACATGACTACTTTGCTAATTGATGTCGATACACCAGGGAGAATCGGCACCGTCTACAGCAGAGTTTTCCCTTAAAGTGGACTAGGTCAGTTGGATGGCAATTGGACTAAGTCAAACAGTAATTCTCATAACCAGACCCTCTTTTCCTAAATTATTACACATCCACAACAGTATTACTACAGTGGGAAAACTATGTACTCAAATGTTTGGGGTGACCAGCACTGAAACAGCATTTGTGAATTTAATGAAGCTGGTGAGGGGTCTGGAACACAAGTCTGATGAGGAGCGGCTGAGGGAACTGGGCTTGTTCAGCCTGGAGAAGAGGAAGCTGAGGGGAGACCTTATTGCCCTCTACAACTGCCTGACAGGAGGCTGTAGCGAGGTGGGGGTTGGTCTCTTCTCCCTGGTAACGGGTGATAGGACGAGAGGAAATGGCCTGAAGTTGTGCCAGGG